TACCTATTGCGATAGTGTACCGTGTGCGGTACAGTATCATAGTCTGACTAGTGTGATAGTGTACCGTGTGCGGTACAGTATCATAGACTACCTATTGCGATAGTGTACCGTGTGCGGTACAGTATCATAGTCTATATAGTGCGATAGTGTACCTAGTACGGTACAGTATCATAGTCTACCTATTGCGATAGTGTACCGTGTGCGGTACAGTATCATAGTCTGACTAGTGTGATAGTGTACCGTGTGCGGTACAGTATCATAGACTACCTATTGCGATAGTGTACCGTGTGCGGTACAGTATCATAGTCTATATAGTGCGATAGTGTACCTAGTACGGTACAGTATCATAGTCTACCTATTGCGATAGTGTACCGTGTGCGGTACAGTATCATAGTCTGACTAGTGTGATAGTGTACCGTGTGCGGTACAGTATCATAGTCTACCTATTGCGATAGTGTACTGTGTGCGGTACAGTATCATAGTCTATATAGTGCGATAGTGTACCGTGTGCGGTACAGTATCATAGTCTAGCCATTGCGATAGTTTACCTAGTGCGGTACAGTGTCATGATCTACCTAGTGCGGTAGTGTACCTAGTGCGATACAGTATCATATTTTACCTATTGCGATTGTGTACCGTATGCGTTTCAGTATCATAGTCTGACTAGTGCGATAGTGTACCGTTTGCGGTACAGTATCATAGTCTACCTAGTGTCGATAATGTACCGTGTGCGGTACAGTATCATAGTTTACCTAGTGCGATAGTGTACCGTGTGCGGTACAGTATTATAGTCTACCTAGTGCGATAGTGTACTTTGTGCGGCACAGTAGGATAGTCTACCTAGTGCGATAGTGTACGGTGTGCGGTACAGTATCATAGTCTACCTAGTGCGATAGTGTACCTATTGCGGTACAGTATCATAGCCTAACTCGTTCGATAGTGTACCGTGTGCAGTACAGTATCATAGTCTACCTAGTGTGATAGTGTACCGTGTGCCATACAGTATCATAGTCTACCAAGTGCGATTATGTACCGTGTGCAGTACAGTATCATAGTCTACCTAGTGTGATAGTGTACCGTGTGCCATACAGTATCATAGTCTACCAAGTGCGATTATGTACCGTGTGCAGTACAGTATCATAGTCTACCAAGTGCGATAGTGTACCGTGTGCGGTACAGTATCATAGTGTCTCTAGTGCGATAGTGTACCATGTGCGGTACAGTATCATAGTCTACCTTGTGCGATAGTGTACCTAGTACGGTACAGTATCATAGTCTACCTAGTGCGATAGTGTACCTAGTGCAGTACAGTATCATAGTCTACCTAGTGCGATAGTGTACCTAGTGCAGTACAGTATCATAGTCTACCTAATGTGAGGGTTTCAGCGTAAAAGTACCGGGAATGCTTGTCGGAAATTTTCAAAAATACCTCTAAAAGATTCCGGAAGTCTTAAAAAAGGACGTGGCTAACTGATTTTGAGATTGTAACACAAATCTTGTTGAAATCATTTCCAATTGTAAAAAGTATAAAATAATTAATGACAAAACAAAACGCAGAGGAAAATTGATATCGATGCGATCTTTCCCCTAATATGAAAATATTACCCTTTGGAGAAGAAAAACTCTGATTCAAAACCTCCGCTGCCTTGCGGCCATACCCTTTTATGGGAAAGGCTTCGGGAGATCACCCTGAGGAAAAACCAGGAGTCGGAGTCCCTAAAGGCAATCGATGGCTACACTTAGCATCACTTTGGCAACTTCTGCGGCGACGTTGGACCCCAAATGTATTGGCTNTAAAGAGCAGAAAAAAAATACAAATTTTTCGATGTTCGTACAAATAAGTTCGGCTAAACTTCTAGTTCCGTACGGCATGACTTGAGCCATGTTTCCATACCTTCCTTTGCACCTACTCAAAGAGTTCAAAGAGTACATATAGTATTTGAAAAATGCATCAAATGTTAGATAATAGGCCTTTTTTCCGTTGAAAGCGAGAGCGACGGCTGATTTAGTTGACAACAGTCTCTCCAGTACAGGGACCAAAAAACAATAGGAAGCTCTCGGAAAAATGTCTTTATTACAATAGCACACATTTGCATTTCCTCTGATTTAAGGATAAGCCTGCATTCYCAAAAGGCTGTAACTCTACGTCYTGTRGGAATACAGGCTTACATTAGCCTCAAATTGGAGAAGATTCAAGTTTCTAGAGCTATTGTAATCAACATTTTTTCGTGCTTCTTTGGTTTTTGCAATAGAAAAGCGAGAGAGTCTGTTTAGTTAAGTATCAAATATAATAGAAGTCTCTTTACTAAAACGTGTGAATAAGTCATATATATTGTTTTCAAACTGATTATTCATGTTCTTAAAATCACAAGTAGTTTCATCGCGCTGTTTCGCACCGAGTGGTGCATAAGGCCTTTATCGAGCTTCTCCAAAAATCAAGTAGTTAATTTAATCATGGAAAATTGTTTGTGAATTTCATGTCACTCTAATTTTGTTTCTTTTTTCAAAGCAGCAAAACGAAGGTCAAAATATTGAAGTTTTTTATCTATTCGAAGCATACAACACAATCATAAACTGTCTCTCTGTTTATATTTAAATTTCCGCATCAGCTAGCGGCTTTGGTATCAGGTGACTGGGCACACCGTTTTCAAATAAGACTTGATTTTGTCTAGCTTCGCTAAACGATTTGATTATCTACTCGCCATTTTGTCTTTTTCTGCCAGCTGTATGAGTAGGGGAGTAATCAAGCATTTAGAGTCCGGGTGTACTGTCTCATATCCAGCAATTGTGCGTATCATACTAATTCTAGCTATAATTGAAAACATGTTTTTAAAATATTGATAATGAAGAAGAGGTGACTTGGAATACCATTTAGAAGATGCACTCTTTCAATAAATGATAACGTATATGACATCAATCCAAGAGCCAACAGAAATCGTTTCCAAATCATATTATCCTACAAGAAGCTGAAGAGATATAAAAAAAGATGTAATCTATCCTGGAGAAAATAACTGATCTATTAAAAAACGTACCTATTACGAAGACCTTGACGTCACTTGTATTCACAATCAACCGATTAACACGCCTATACCTTTTTAAAAATGATGAAAATGAAAAATTCGTTTGCCGGAATTTAAGTGTTTTCCTTCGACCTCATCTGCAAGACATCCTGAATGCGAAAGAACAAGTTACAGTGCTGATCGAAACATGACGAACCCAGATCGAAAGCAGAGTAAAAATAAGATGTTGAAAATGAAAATTGCCTACCTGCTGAAGAGAAGGGAGTGTTCAGTTGCTTACTATTTCAAGTTTACATTGAGTCTTTGATGACAAAGATAGCACTGTTCGGGAGATTTTTATGGACATGTAATGAAAATTAAGAGCCGCTTCACACACACACACAAAAAAGACAAAACTGTAAATTTTCGGCAAGGCTCGAAAAATCAAATCTATTCATATCTTGTATATTGACAAGGTAAGATAAGGTTACAATCGCTGTGTAATTTGTTTTTGAAAATATTTCATTTTTCGCAAGAAAATCGCCAAACAATGTTACATACTTGGCCTTTGCGTGACAAATCCTTGATTGCTGAAAATAGCTCTCATAATAGCCCAACTTCATACCGAGTTCATATAAAAACTAAAATAGCTATTTTGAAAATTTAAATTGCTGCTTTCTTACTAAATCTTTCTTATTTATTTCCTTGATTTTCAGACCATTTAAGTAAAACTAAAATTTTCTGTAACTCGAAATATTACCATATGTTTTTTCATATGCAAACCTGTACCTTTTTAAAAATATCATTTTTTATAACGTGCAAGTATTTTGTTTGCAATAAAATTCGGAGTGAATACTAAAGAAGAGATGAGCTTTTCAAATACATAAAAATTAGTCTGGGCAAATCACTCTCAGTTGCATAGAAATGAATACTTCTGGCGATAATAATGAGTTGAAACACCAAATATTTTAAACAACGGAAATTCATTTACACTGCCTAAAATGCTCAAAGAAAATAAGCTTAACCCTTTGTATCTTACGTGTAATAACATACATCTAATGTAGATTAGATGTTTATAAGCTTTGAAAATTGTTCGGTTAATACAACTGACAAAATATGTGTTTACGCTGATAATTGTGACTAGAATAAGTCATTGGCTACGCACCTAAAAGTGATTTGCCCAGACTTATTATTATTTCTTTGTAATGCTCATGCCTTGCTTAGTTATCACGCCGAATTTCATTGCAAACAAAATACTTGCACATAGAAAAAATAATCTTTTTTTCTAGGTACTAATTTGCATATACAACTACATAATGTAAACACTCCGAGTTCCAGAAAAAATTATTTTTAATTGAATGCTCTGAAAATCAACGAAATAAATAAGAAATAGTTACTTAGAAAGCCGCAATTTGAATTTTTAAAATAACTATTTTACATTTCACACAAGCTCGGTAGAAAGTTTGGCTATTTTGAGTGCTATTTTTAGCCATCAAACATTTGTCACGCAAAGGCCCAGTATGTGACATTGTTTAGCGATTTTCTTGTGAAAAATGAAATATTTTCAAAAACAAATTACACAGAGATTGTTACCTAAGCATACCTTATCAATATTTCTAAAATATTTAGGATACTACGCGCGCTGTGATTGGTCATGTTTGATTACAGTATCAAACCACGCTCGTTTCATATCGTATCAAAATTGGGATGTAGGGAGAGCACTCGAAAAGCTGGAAACCAATCCGCTACGCGTCGTGGTTTCCTACGCTTCTCTCGTGCTCTCCCTACATCCCGCGTGTTTTGATCAGAGTATCAAACACGGAATTTCGTCTTTTATTCCTTAAACAAAATATGAATAGATTTGATTATTTTTATTNAAGTCACAGCTTAATTGACGTAGAGCTAGACGCCAGGGGTTGCTTCTGACGGTGGGAGAGGCCATCGCGTCTCACTGGACAGCTACCGCCCGCCATAAGCTGGGCAGCCCTCAGCCAATTAGGTGCTGTCTCGTCACGATCTGCCAGCCTCGTTGGGTGCACGAAGCCTAGGAGAAAAYCGAAAAGCAGATCGCTTAATTTGCACCAGGCAAAAACACAATAAATCACAAACATGAATCACAAACCCTAAAACTTGGAACTTGGAACGTCCGGACAATGACACCAGGCTTGATGGAAGACCTGGATAATATGAGTGAAGCACGCAAGACCGCTGTTATAGACTTAGAACTACAGAGACTGCAACTAGACATCGTTGCACTACAGGAAACCAGACTTCTAGATTCTGGTTCCATCAGAGAAAAAGAGTACACCTTTTTCTGGCAAGGCCGACCACAAGAGAGCACGAGAGAACGAGGGACAGGCTTTGCTGTAAGAAATAGTTTGCTTGGAGCTATCATCCCACCCCGCAAAGGCACCGAACGCATTCTATCCATGCACCTGAATACACCTTCTGGCCTAGTTAGGCTGATAAGTGCCTACGCTCCAACACTGACATCTCTACCAGAGGAAAAAGACCAATTTTATGACGATCTTAGTACTGTTATCGATAATACTCCTGWCAATGAACGAATTTTCATTCTTGGCGACTTCAATGCTAGAGTGGGTACAGACCACCACTCATGGCCAATCTGCGTTGGACGCTTCGGAGTTGGTAGGATGAATGAAAATGGACAAAGACTGTTGGAGTTTTGTTGCCTTTACAATCTCTGYATTACCAACACCTTCTTCAAAACAAAACCACAACATAAAGTATCTTGGAGACACCCCCGTTCCAAGCATTGGCATCAACTCGATCTGATTGTCACAAGGAGAACGGACCTGAACTGTGTCAAACTCACTCGCACCTTTCACAGTGCCGACTGTGATACAGACCACTCATTGGTTTGTAGCAAGGTGAAGCTAAGCCCCAAGAGACTATATCGCTCTAAGACTGAGGGCCGACCACGCATCGATACCACTAAGACACGCGACCCCGACAAGGTAATGGCATTCACACAGGCTCTGGATGACACTTTAGCAGATAAGCCCAACAATAACACCTGTAAAAGATGGGAGCGCTTGAGAGATGCTATCTACAGCACAGCTATCTCTGCATTTGGCAAGAAACAGAAAGGTTCAGTTGACTGGTTTGAGGCTCACTCGGAGGAGATGATACCCGTCATTGAAGAGAAACGATCTGCCTTGAAAGCGTACATCGATAACCCCWGCGATCAAAACCTGCAATCCCTGAGAACAGCACGAAACAGAGTTCAAAAAACTGCCAGGAATTGTGCCAATGAGTACTGGCTCCAACTCTGCTCACAGATACAAATTGCTTCAGACAGTGGCAACATCAAGGGAATGTATGATGGCATCAAAAAGGCAATAGGCCCTACAAAAAAGAAGGTTGCCCCACTAAAATCTGCATCTGGAGTTGTCATCGAGGACCGTGAGAAACAGATGGACCGCTGGGTAGAACACTACTCGGAGCTATACAACAGGGAGAATATGGTTACAATGGAAGCTCTGAACTCTGTTGAACAACTGCCAGTTATGTTAGAACTAGATAAAGAACCGACTATGGAAGAACTAAATGAAGCATTAAAGAAACTCTCCTCTGGAAAAGCTCCTGGTAAGGACGGTATACCCGCCGAAGTACTGAAATGCTCTACCAGTACGTCACTTCAATCAGAGCTGCACGAGGTACTCTGCCTTTGTTGGAGGGAGGGAAGATCTGCGCGATGCCAACATTATTACACTTTATAAGAATAAAGGAGATAGAAGCGACTGCAACAACTATCGCGGCATTTCCCTACTGAGTATTGTTGGCAAGCTATATGCCAGAGTTGCTCTGAAAAGACTGCAGGTACTTGCTGACAGGGTGTATCCGGAATCTCAGTGTGGATTCAGGAAGGACAGATCTACCATCGACATGGTATTTTCTCTCAGGCAGCTACAAGAAAAATGTCG